GTGTTGAAGCTGTCTAAAGTTGGTACCCAGGGCATGCGTGATACCAAGTCAACAGAGTAAGTCAGTCTGCCAAAGATCTGATGGGCACAGGCAAAGAAATACCGGTACCGCGGGCGGCATGAAAGACATGAAAAATCCACCCCGGGGAAGGCTATGTCAGCGCAGTCATTGGCACCGGCACCAACCCTAGCGCACTGACAGACTCTATGACTAGGTCCGTATCTCCGACTCCATCAGCACAAACCTCTTGGCACCGATAACCACTGGTAACGACGACATCCACATTGCGGATTTCCAGTGCGCGACAGATCTCTTGGTGTTCGATGTACCGGACTCACTCCTACTCAGTACTGGGACTCCATTGCCAAGTTCTCCCAGAACAATGGACTCGATGACATCTCCATGCCACACCCCACCTTTCTCCTCATTGGAGTCGGATAGTGAGCTAGAGCACTTGGGTTCCCACTGCTCATCTTACCCGCCATACGGGATCCAATTTCACCATGAGCACCAGGCATATCGCCCACCCAACCCTCAACCTCCATGGTTTGGGCAGCCATGGTACCACTTCTCCCACTGATCAAGGACGCACACATGAAGGTCATAACAGACAATATGGCCTGCATGTTCTACATAAACCAACAGGGAGGTGCCAAATCTCATTCCTTGTGTGTAGAAGCACTAAAACTATGGAACTGGTCCATCTCCCACAACGGCCTAATATTAATTTCCTACCTACCGGGAATACACAACACAACAGCCAACAGTCTCAGATGCAAATTCCCGCACAACCACGAATGGGAGATAGAGTTGACGATTCTATATGACAATTTCTGACAATAGGGGATGCCAGTAATAGACTTGTTTGCTACTCACCAGAACAAGATATGCCCACAGTACTGCTCCAGGGCAGGGATTGGACGACACTCCATGGGAGATGCTCTTCTCATTCCTTGGGAGAAGGGACTTCTTTACGCCTTTCCCCCATTCCCTCTATTATTGAAAGTCCTGTCAAAAATAAAAAGGAAAAAAGCAAACATGATTCTGATTGCCTCCACCTGGCCCAGGAAGGCCCTGGCCCTTATCTGTCGCAGCTGGCATTATGTCCCCCGATGACTCTCCCGATCACTCCTTACCTGCTGTTGCAGAATGAGGAATGCACTCTCCATCCCAATCTACGGATCCTGTGACTCAAAAGTGTGGCTCCTTCATGGTTCCAGCACATAGAAACATCTTGCTCTGAGGAGGTACAGGAGGCGCTATTACACAGTAGAAAGGGCACTACTCGTCATCCCTACCTTCAGAAATGGAAGACGTTCCAGATCTGGTGCCAGCCCAAGGGAGTCACCCCTACTGCAGCCACTTTACCGGTGGTCCTAGACTACCTGTTGACCTTTAAGAAATCGTGTCTGTCTATTAGCTCACTGAAGGTTCATCTAGCAGCAATTGCAACCTTCCACTAACAGGTAAAAGGCTACTCAGTCTTCTCCCTCCGAACTACGAAGAGGTTTCTTAAGGGCATAGCAAACCTCTTCCCTCAACCCAGTCCCCCACTCCTCAATGAGACCTCAATCTAGTGTTAAAAGGACCGACTAGACCGCAATTTGAACCCATGTCCACTTGTTCACTAACTCAACTTTCCATGAAGATTGCTTTCCTCCTTGCCATCCCTATCCTTCTGGCAGAAGTGAAGATAGCAGCTTTGATGGCACATCCCCCTTTTACTGTGTTCTTTCTTGACACGGTCACACTCAGACCACATCCAGAGTTCACTCCTAAAGTGACTTCTGCATTTCATATGAATCAACTTACTCAGCTTCCAACATTTCATCCCAAACCTCATGAGGAAAACGTCCTTCTCCCGTCAATTGTATGTAGAGCTTGGCCTTCTATTTGGACAGGACAGTGGCTTTTAGAAAATCTCCAAGACTCTTCCTCTCCATTGCAGATAGGTCTAAAGGTACAGCAATCTCAGCTCAGCAGCTCTTAAAGTGGGTTTCCAACTGTATTAAACTCTGTTACCAACTGCATAATTTAGCACCCCTAGCTTCAGTATGCACACATTCCATGAGGTTGGTCTCCTCACCCGTTGCCTTCTCCAAGGGTATCCCTATATCAGAAATGTGCAGAACAGTTACCTGGACATCTGTGCATACCTTTGCAGAGCACTATGCCATCCTGGGGGATTCGGCTTCAGATGCCAAATTTGGTGCGACAGTATTGTCATCCATATCAGACTTGACTCTGAAGTCCCAGTCTTCATTGGTGGGTACTGCTCGGGAGACACCTACAGTGGAGCACCCATAGAGACACTACTCAGAGAAGAAGTTACCTTGTGCAGTAACGATGGTCCTTTGAGATGTGTGTCCCTATGGGTGCTCCACAACCCATCCTCCTCCCCTCTACTTCGGAGTTTCAGTGGTTGACTCTGTGATAGAGAAGGAACTGAATGCCCGCACACACTGGCTAACCTCGTGGCAGATGGGGAGCTGTGCGGGCGGGACAGACTGCTATTGAAATTCGCCGATCAGCAGCGCGGGGGTACAGACACACCTACAGTGGAGCACCCATAGGGACACATATCCCAAAGAACCATTGTTACTGCACAAGGTGAGTAACTTCTTCCTGCTAAAACAAGTAACTCTGATTTACTTCTGATTATTCGCCACTTAACTGATTTCTACTTTGCCCCCAACTGATTGAGATAAAAAATAATTTGGCCTCTAGATTGCTCCTGCACCTCTTTATTGCTCTGATTCAGAATACCCCTTCTGTTTTGGAGTGCATTATGTCAGATAAAGATAAATTAATCACTGGACTGAAAGTTGCTGGTTGCCTAGCAATCACTGATCATGAACGAATTACATTAAATGTTTATTTAAACAGAGGACAGTCTCAGCCAGTTTTTATATATATAAACACACACACACATATACTTGTTGTTTCAGAAGAGTTATTTTCCCAAAGCTGAGGGAAATTATAAGTGAAATTGATTCAGAGGAAAAATTTAGACAGAAAAATATGAATGAAAATGGGGAGTTGTTTAAGAAGAGTTTATTAGATGGCCAAAAAGCCACGATTCCATAATCATGAAAGATGACAACTTTGGCTAAAAGCACATCCTGGTTCAGTGGAAAAGTGAAGACAGCAATTAGAAATAAAAAAAGCAACATATAACAAATAGAAATAAAGGGGAAAGAGATAGCAATCATATAAATTAGAAGTTATGAAGAGTAGAAAATTGATAAGGGAATCTAAAGACATCAGGGAAAAATCCATTGTTGACAGGGCTGACAATAAAAGGTGTTTTTAAAATATATTGGGAACAAAAGAAATCCTAGCAATGATATAGGTCCACTATGAGATGGAGATGGCAAATTGTTAATAATAATGTAGAAAAAGCAGAAGTTAAATACATTTTGTGTTCTGGTTTTGAAAAGAAGCAGGATGATGTGATTGTATCACATGATGGTGATGAAGTACTTTCCAGTCCATTAGTAACTAATGAAAATGTTAAACAACATCTACTCAGTATAAACATTTTAAAATCAGCAAGCCCAGAGAACTTGCAGCCAAGAGTCCTAAAAGAGTTGGCTGAGGAGATCTTTGACCTGCTAATGTTAATTTTAAATAAATCTTGGAATACTGGGGAAATTCCAGAAGACTGGAAGAGTGCTAATGTTGAGCCAATATTCAAAGGAGACCATGGGAACTATAGGCTGGTTAACCTACCATGAATCTTGGGCAAAACAATGGCAAAGCCCATGTTACTTGTGTATTTTTAAATTAAGGATTGATTCTGTATGTAAGTAAACCAAGTCATATGGGTCATGCTTTATGAGTACATTTATAAATAGGTTATAGAGGGCTAACACGTGATTACCAGATGTTTTAATAAATGGTTGATCAGTTGTTGTGGAGTCCAACTGGTCAATAGGTTGTTTAGATCCATCTAGAACACCTTCTATTGTGGTGTGTATAACTATCTATCCCACAGAATGCTCATATCTAGATCATGCTTATAGAATATGTTAATTGTTGAGTAGCCCTTTATAAACTATTTGCAAATGAACCCCTAGTACCAGTGTGACCATTTTATTTTGTTACTAAAATAATAAAAAGCAAGACATAACCACTGATGCTAAGGGTGGGTTAAGACCCAGCTTTATTACAAGCAGTGCAACATTTCACCAACCATTTGCATAACCAGTTCAATGTGAATGTCTTTGAATGCATGTCTGAATGGAACACAGCTCTGTAGGATCAAGTGTATCCATTTCAGTTTAATGTAAGGAAAGTGATTGCCTCGTCTGGCTAAGGGAGTGTTGTGTGTTCACCTGAGTTTGCAGGCAGGCTGCATTTACAAATCAGCTGCTATAGGACCGTTGTGAGTGGCAGAGGGAAAAAGCCCCTGCACTCCTTTGCTCTGGTAGCACAGGGATTCCTTACTTCTGCTCCTCTGCAGGGAGAAGGATGCAGAAAAGGTGGTGGGGAGGAGGCAGGGCCTTGTGCCTGTCAGCAGGGGCCAGCATACGAGGAGCAGTCTGATCTGTCCCTATGGATGGAGTGAATTGCTGATTCCTGTGTACACAGGATGGCCCTGGAGAAAGCGTACCTGACCCCAGCCCAGCCAGTTTCCTCCTGTAGCTCTGAGTGCCTCTGTGGCATCCAGAGGATGCAGTCGAAGGTGCTGCAGACGCAGACACATCTGTGCAGATTTGGCAGGGGAAGACAATCCCACCCAGTGGCCTTTCTTGTTGTCTCATTGCATCACTAGGTTATCTAATCGTTTTCTTTAACCCGAAGAACCATCTCCTCCCGTGCTTCTCTGCAGACTGCAATCGCTCTCCGTCACGGTGTGCGGTCCTAGTCCTGACATTGGATTGTCCTATTTCAAACACCGTGAGGGGGCGTCTGTAGCTTTCTTTCTTTGTTAATGTTTATTTCCTCTTTCTCTCTGCTTATCCCCTTTGTGCCTTGTCTTGGGGGCTGGGCTGTAGCTGGATCCTTGTGACACCGATAGCGATGAGGAAATTCTGGAGAGGCTTCTGGAGCTCCCACATCAGCAGAACTGCAGCAAGAAGTTATTTAGCATTCCCGAAGTGACAGAGGAAGAGGATGAAGAGGAGGAGGAAGAAAAGTGTGTTCATGTGGAGAAGAGAGAATCCCCAGACTGCTTCCTGGAGAGACGTCCATACCATGCAGAAAGGAAGGGGATGCCCCATCCCATAAGTGCCCCTCAGGCATTTCCAAACACAGATGGTAATGACACCTACCAAAATCTTTCCATGCAGGCGCCCCAAGAGGCTCCTGTTCTTCAGAAGACCAGAGAAGACTCTGACAATGAGAATCCTGCCTATCTGGAGCTGAGCTGGACTCAGAAGAGGGGTAGCTGTAATTGGGGTTACCAGGAGAGTAGAATGAAGCCCACTGCAGGCACAAGCCCCCAGTCGGGCAGAAAGAAAGGAGGTAATTCTCAAGAAAGGGCCCATGATCTGCCTGAGGTGAACAGGAAGAAACGGAGCGATGTCAAAGAGCATTGTAGTCGCCTGCTGAACACCTGCAGCCTGACAGGAGGCAGCTTGTACAGAGCCCAGAGCCTCAAGGAGAAGCTGAATGTCGTAAGCAGTGCTAGTGGCAAGGGCGGGTCAGAAGTCTGTGGTCATGCAAGACCAGGCACCTTTAGAAAATCCCACAGAAAGTTAATGCCTTCAGACCTAGCAGAGCCCGCTGCATTGACAACCCACTGCTTCAACACAAGGAGCCTCGAGATCAATATTGAATATGACTCAGAGGAAGATCAGGATCTGACCTTCCCTTCCAGCCCCGGGAGCAGTGAATGGCCAGATGGCAGCGTGGAGGGGTCCCAGACTGGCTGTGAAGGGTGGAGTGATTGCTCCAGTCAGTCTGAGTCTGCCCACTCTGATGGGAGAACCCCGCTGAAGAAGCAAGAGTTTGGGGAAGAGAAAGGAATGGAGTGGGCTGGGTCTCCAAGCCACCACCCACAGTTACCTTGCCCAGAGAAGGAGGCACTGAGGAGTGAAGGCAACTCAGAGGAGCAAGGCTGGGAACGAGCGGATAATCCAGCTGGCTGGAGGAGGATGCCGGAGCGCCCTTGGAGGGGGATACACAGTGCTGCGTTGCACGCAAGGGTCTGGGTGACTTTTCCTCTTCTGGTTTTGAAGCAGCTTGTAGTGACAATAGTTTCCTCCCCTGCCCGTGCCCCCAGCCTGCCTGTGTGCTGCTTTGTCTAGTGCTGTACAGAAACAGACTCGTCAGCGGTATGTCTGGGAGAGCTTGTAGAGCTTGTAGATCTGTGCTGCTCTGAAGCTTTTCTTGTATTCTCTGCTTATGCTTGTACTGTGGAAAGTCAGAGGAGACTCATGGATGCAGTATTCCTTTTCTCAACTGGGACCTCCTCCCTAGGCCAAGATGCTGTCCAAGCTCAAAGACCGTGGGACCTTAGTGAAAATTCCTAGTAAATTAATGATGATCCGTGATCATTTCTACTTTTCCTTGATGTGTCCTTCCACCCCTCCTCACAACCCCAATGGAGTTGTTACTGGCCTCCAAGAAAAGCACCTGTCCATGTTGACTTGCTTCAGTTTTCCACAGTGCCACATAATTCTCATCTCTGGAGTGTCCCAAAAGAGGAATATTGCATGTGAATGCATTGCTTTTTGTGGTGTGCTTAGTGTCGCTGGGGAGGGGTGGAGCTGGGTCCATGCTAATTCAGAGTTCAAAGCATGGCCATTAGTAACTCTCCAGTGGTTTCTGTTGCAGGCTTCTGATAATGAAGATCTGAGGTTACAAGAGTTACTTGGCTCACCAGCTTGGCAGACTCCAACCCGAAAAGGGAACAAGACCTTGAGAAGAAGCCGAATCTTGAAATCTTCCATCTCCAGTTCAGGTGAGCTTGTCAGCGTTTCTTGAGACTATTTTCCATCTGAAAGGGAGCATAGTACAGGGAGGGAGAGACAGACAGAGGGATGGAGCGAGAACAATCTGTTTTGAAATGTTGAAAGAGAAGCCAGTAACTTCTATCCTGAAAACATGTCGATTTGGAGGTGTGAGCTCCCTGGAACGCGGTGCTAACCTCATTTCTCCTGCTTGCAGGCTCAGCTTCAGAGGCTGTTGTTACAGACAACTCAGTAAGGATATTTGTGGCCCTTTTTGACTATGACCCCATTTCTATGTCACCTAACCCTGATGCAGCTGAAGAAGAGCTCCCATTTAAGGAGGGGCAGATTCTGAAGGTAAGAACAGTGCTACATGAGGTCTTCTCTTCCATGTTGCTGCTAACCTGCCATGTCCCGGCCACAGATGGCTGGGACTTTTGGATGCAGAATTCAGTTGAACAGGCTGTTGTTACCTTCCTTAAACTGCTTTGCCTGCAGAGCATCCCTGCTTTCATTACGTGGCTCACGCTCCCTAATGTGAACTGATGCAGATGCTGTTTCTCTTCTTCTAGGTGTGTGGCGACAAAGACGCTGATGGGTTTTACAGAGGTGAATGTGCAGGAAGGGCAGGGTACATCCCTTGTAACATGGTGTCTGAAGTTCAGGTGGAGAGTGCGGAAGTGAGGAAGGAGCTGTTAAAGCAAGGTTACATTCCTGCTGCCACATCGGTGGAAAGCATAGGTACTGTACCTCCCTCCCACACCTACTCGGGTTCTGCATGTGGACAATGCGTTTCTTTCCTGACATTCAGGAAGCTCAGCACTGCTGTCATGCATTGCACTGCAGCTGCACGCCAACTGCACCTGCCAAGGGGGTTCTTGTGGCCACCCTCAGGAGCGTCAGCCACCAGAACCCCTGCTGTAGCTATAGCGAGCAGCAGGGGCCCTGTGCACATGAGCTGAGTGTCCTGGCCTGAGGCTCTAACTGCTGTAGTATCTCAGTTCAAAACCTGCCCTTCCAAACTGCAGCATTGTTCCAAGCCGCCTCCCACATGCGGCATTGAGTGTGGACATGCAAGGGAGCGGCACGTGGGGAGGATGCTGTCTCTGGATGGGTTTTAATGACGTGTGCTTTGTGAGAGCTAACCCTGGGCCAGCTGCTGTGCAGTGAGGAGTTGAAGTGGGGTCTGCTTCTTGCTGAAGTACGTGAGAAGAACATAGGAGGGAGCAGAATAGTACCTCAGCTTCAGCCGATCATGGGCGCCTCATGGTCTGCAGCTGACCAGCCCTTGGGCAGGGGAGGCACTACTTTTAGGAGAGCACAGTGTGTAGACAGGGAAGGAGGAGGAGGAGACGGGTGGGTGGAGGTGGGGAAGAAAGCCAGGGCAGAGAGGAGAATAGTGATGAGGGAACTCTGAGAGGAGGGAGCCTGATGGAAGGAGAGAAAAGAGAAATGGGAAGGAGAGAATGAGGGGAAGAGAGAAAAAAGAGCTGAGTTTTACAATTAACAACGCTGCTTTGACTTGGCCTTGTTGCATAGATTGTAAATGAATGCGGAGTACACATACGTGGCCCTAGAGAAGCCAAACGGTGGTGCCACTTGGGCTCCTGGTCCGTGCCAGCGAGTGTCTGAAGCATGGGGCCTTAGTGCTTTATGCACAGCTGATGTCTTTCTGCCTCCTGCAGCTCACGTGCATGAAGCTGAGCCTGAGAAGGGCAAGAATCCCTCTGTGTTATCACAGCCACCAGGGGCCTTAGTGAACTGCAAGATCTCAGCTGACCCTGGGTGGGAATTGTGGGCTTGTCGCCTGCCACCAGACAGCGTTCCAGGGAGAATACTGCCATCTAAGCACTGGCATGTCTTGCAGGTCCTCCGGACACCCTGGCTGCTCAGAGTGAATCCCAGACATGCTGAGTGCCATGGGTGACAGCAACACTGGAAGGTTAGATCTAGGGCTGGGGTAGTGGAGTGACGTGCACAAGGGGCTCCCAACTTCACACCCAAATGACAGAGCAGTTAACCGAACTCTGTCTGCCCAGTGCTTTTGCCACGTTGTAGCTGACAGTGGAGACAAGGCGAAAGAGGAAGCGTATTTCCCTGTCTCCCCAGGCTGAGATCCAGTGTTCAATGACAAAGGCTAACATGTATTTTCAAAAGTTACTAGTTCTTAAATATGAATCACTGTTGATCAATGATTCAGAGCTTAGGGACTGCAGGAGCCATCTCTGTCCCTCTTCTCTGCAGAGATCGAGCTCCAAGCATCACCCCGTCACTAGGGAACCTTGTCAGCAGAAAAGAGCATTTCCCCTTGAGAGCCTCACATGAGGGTCTGGCTGGTGAACCGCTCCTCCCCAGGCTCACTGGGGATCTTCCTCCCTGCAGAGCCTCAGGAGAAGGGAGGGAAAAACCCTGATCTCCTCCCCTACCAGCCTCTAAAATCCCCTGTTCTCTCCCAGTCTCCCATCCTGATCTTCTTCATTCACCTACCCGCAGAGTGGGGAAGAAGGGAACTGTGTTCCTGCAAGGGCAGGGTTAATGTGGGTGGCTTGTTTGAGAAGTGCAGCCCTAAATTTGCTTCTTTTGGGTAGTAATCTGTTAGGGTTTGGTTTTACTGTGACTCTAATATTCCTGAAAGGTGATGTGCAGTCACAGGCAGGGAGGGATGGACAGGCAGGACATGCTCTGTTGCATTCTTGATGAGCGCATATATATATAAAAACCCATGTGTCTGTGTGTGGGTTGTACAGTCTGAGAGTCCCCGGGTGGTCTCGCTTTAGTATATAAATTGCAGAGTCTGCTTCCCAGTGGAAGTTTCTTCATGCTGCTGTGTTGCTTGCTCACTCTCCAAGAAGCTTTTCACTTTCATTCGCTGTCTTACTGTTCTCTTGTCTATTTGCTTTTTTTCTTGGATTTTATTAAGGAAATGGTACATTTGCTCCACCTCCACGCCGCCTCACGGTCCCTCCTCCGAAACCCAGACGTGCCAAGAAAGGTCTGTCACGCCTGCTGCTTGCGTTTGATTTTGGCATTGGGTTGCAAACTGGGTTGAGTTTTGACTACCTGCTCTCAGGATCTCCAAGTGGTCAGACTGGCAGCAAGTGGACAGAGCACCCTTTCCTTCCAGTTTGGCACCATTTGTAATCACTCCATGCTGGGACCCTGGCCTGGGTGTTAAATGTTCTCCAGGACAGATAGCTCTTTTTGTTTCTTGAGCTTGTCCTCTGTCTCCAATGATGTTCCAGTGTCACTGTTACTGTCCTAGACTTTGAGCTGCATGAACAGGATGTACGATCTGCTTGTGGTGTGTGCTTGTTGGGCCTTGGCTTGATCTTTGCTGTTCATGAGGAACGTTTTGTTGTTGTTCGTCAGGTGTCTGTTTTTGTCAGTGTTGAAAGCTGAATACAGACTCATTAAATCTTTTCTTCCACAGCAGACCTGGAGAAACAGGAAAACTACAAGCCTCGTCCAGGTGAGAATTGCTCCTTCCATGCTCGGATACTACAGGGAAAGGGCCCATAAAAGTAGGTAGATGCTTTTCAGCAACACACCTCAGGGAGCAGCCGCATCACTTCCTCGTAAGAGCCCTTCAGAACCCATGTGAGCAGGTTTCTCTCCCTTCCCTACGTGGAACCTTGTCAGCGTGACTCCAGTAAGAAGAGTCCTGCTACCAGCTTGTGGTTTCGGCGTGTTCAGTCTTACCCAGATCCTAGCTAAGCTGTGGCAAGGAGGAACAGGCTGTTTATGCAGTGAGCAGTGTATGCTGGGGGCTGATATTGGGGACATGGATGGTGGGTGAGGTGAGCATGGGGAATGGCAGGCTGCTGTCAGAAGGGCTCACTAGAGAAGAGTCGGGCTTGGGCTGCTTGTCATGGAGGTGTGCATGGTCCGAAGGGGTGACAGGAATGAGGACAAAGGGGTGAGGTTTGAGAAATTGTTCCTACAGCAGGAGAGATGGTTACCCTGTGCCATTTGGAAAGCATGTTGTGACACCAGAGGGGTTGCAGTGTGTGTAGGGTCTCCCTCCTATTTGGATGGTGGCTGTTGGACCTTCGGCTACACAGTGGGAATCTGGGGACTGTGGGCTTGTTTTGGGTGGCTGGTGGGGCTGGCCTGAGTAGTTGTAGGATGTCTGACTCGTCTGATGATGATTTATTTGTATTACATGGTGCCGAGGAGCCCCCGTCAGAGATCAGGACCCCCGTGTGATAGACCCCATGGGCTTACAGTGCCACAGCTAGAGACAGCAAAGGGCTTCTTGCTGTGGGGGAAATTCCAATGACTTATTGGGAGGATTGCTTAGTTCCATGACAATCTCTCTGGTTCCAGGGACGCATGTTGGGCAGGAGTAGGGTGACCAGATGTCCTGATTTTATAGGGACAGTCCCGATTTTTGAGTCTTTTTCTTATATAGACTCTTATTATCCCCCACCCTCTGTCCCGATTTTTCACATTTGCTGTCTGGTCACCCTAGGCAGGAGTGGGTGGACCTGCAGCATTTGATCTGGCTTTCCTGGCTGCTGGGAGCAGCACAGAATGGAGATGGATCTTTGGTACTCAGCAGCTAGTGAAAATTAGCATGAGGAGATAGAGTCTATTACTGAGGCCTGTTAGTGGTTTCCATTTAGAGGGCAAGATTCTGGGCTGCTTGAAACAAGCAGTGGTTTCGTGGATTGAGCATGGGACCGGGAGTCAGCAGGACTAGGTTCCATTCCTGAACTTGCCACAGACCTGCTGGGTGGCCTTGGGTAAGTCTCATCCTCTCTCTGTACAGATGGGGATCCAGAGACACAATGGTGACGATGGTACTTACCCATCCTTGGAAAAAGCTTTGAGACAGATGGTACCAAGTGAGATGTCGGGTGGCACTACACCCTGTGAGGTCAGGCGGTGTGATCCTGGCTTTACAAAGTGCCCACAGAGAAGCAGTCTAAGGTCACACAAGAAGTCTGCTGCAGAGGGTGGAATAGAATCAGATTGATTGAATTCCTTACCCCGCCTGCCCTGATTTCCATTTACTGTTCTTCATACTGGAAGCAGCAGGCTCCTTGCTTTCCCAGTTAGTGCCAAGCTAAGATCTTTGGTGAAAGCTGGATGGGTTCAGCTCAGTTTAGATAAGGCAGGGGAAATGCTGCTGAATGGGGGAACACCTGGAGGAAGGGTGGGGACGGAGGTATGCTTATCATTGACCTTTATGGGCCAAGCTGTTGAGATCATACTGGAGCCATTGCTGGGCCTAGGCACTTAGGTAAGAATAGGTGCTGGCAGTGCCCTTTGCCATGTTCGGCTAGGCCATAGGCTGCAGCCTCTCCTTTTGTGAACCCACTGTCATATATGCCTCTGTCAGCACCATTGCTCCCTAACTCATAGTTTTCTGCGCTGTTAGATCACCCATTCCTACAGAGGGCAGCTCACTCACTTACCAGATCAGTTGTCAGTTGTTGGCTGTGTGTTGTCAGTTGTTGGCTGTGAGTGTGTGTGTGTGTGTTCTCTCTGCGTGCTGTACCAGCTCTGGCCAGTTAGCCCATACAGCAGGCTCCAACTGAACTGCCCAATAACCACAGACCTGGTTAGTAGCAAAGGCGCTCGCTCAGGTTTATTGCCGATGAAGTGCGGTGCTAATGTCTCAGCTCAGTGGTTACAGGTACACTTAACACATGCATGCCTGTGATAATGGACCAGCTCAGTCAGTGGTGGGACTTTCCAGTGCCCCCTAGGCCAGACGAAGGGTTAAAGTGAGGTATCCCAACATTTATAGACTCGGATAAACAACTTACGTATCACCTTATGTGTTTCAAGACATGTTTGTTACCTCCCCTTGTACTTTCCTCCTAATGTTTCAGACAAAACATCCCTATTCACCACTTTTACTCTGTTTTAGACAAAAGATCACTATTCATCACTTTTGTCGTGTGCTAAGTTAGGGTGTTCTTGCACTGGCCTGCTGGAATGTGTTTACACATTCAGTGTGTTTTATCAATACTAGCAGTACCGGTGCCAAGTTCGTGTGCCGGTCACTGACTTGCAGGCAAGCATCTACTTTTGACAGGGCCTGACTGTAGCTCGTAGCATAACTTTTGCTGACTTAGGGTATGTCTTCACTACCCGCCGATCCGGCGGGTAGCAATCGGTCTATCGGGGATCGACTTACCGTGTCTCGTGAGGACGCGGTAAAATCGATCCCTGATCGCTCTGCCGTCGACTCCAGAAATCCACCTCGGCAAGAGGCGGCAGCGGAGTCGGCGGCAGCGCGGCAGCAGTCGGCTTTCCCCCGTCCTCACCGCCAGGTAAGCTGACCTAAAATACGCAACTTCAGCTACGGTATTCACGTAGCTGAAGTTGCGTATCTTAGGTCGGACCCCCGCTGTAGTGTAGACCTAGCCTTAGGTTCAGGCCTCAGGCCTTGCACCAGGCCCATGCTTCAGGCTCTCTCTCTACTACAGGCTGGAGTGCTGAAATACATTTTACTTTGATTTACTCTAGCTGACCACTTGGAAGCTTCTGCTTCTGCAGAATGTGGTCATCTGTTTGTTTAGCTGGACAAGCAAATGAGCATGTAACACCAGCCACCAAGGTCTGCACTAGCTTCCCATGCACTGCCAGGTATAATGCAAGGGATTTGTTTATCCACAGAGCCCAGGACCAGACTAATCCCTAGACCAAATTGCCCTCTCTACCTGATTGCAACAACAACAACGCGTAGTGGGAATGTTCTTGTTGTCTGGCCCCAGAGGGAAACTCTTATTTTGGTATTCTTAGTGAAGGACTGTGAAATTCACTCCTCTTGTGGGGTGAATTCCTGGTCCCACTGGAAGTCTACAGCAATACAACCATTGACTTTACCCACAGTCTGCAAAGCCTGAGCTGGGTGATATATAACACAAGGTGAAATATTCTATGTATAGAATCATAGAATACCAGGGTTGGAAGGGACCTCAGGAGGTCATCTAGTCCCACCCCCTGCTCACAGCAGGGCCAATCCCCAAACAGGCCCCTGTAAGGATTGAACTCATAACTTTAGGTTTAGCAGGCCAATGCTCAAATCACTCAGCTATCCCTCCCCACCACTGTAGTATTGTAGCTGTTTGATTGTTATTTCTGCTAGGCAGGAGTCATGTGCGTTCTCTGGAGATGAATGATCTTTTGTGGCCATCTTGTCTGGCCATTAGCAATATTTGGTTTAGCTTTTGTCTTAGTGCTTAGGTACAAGCCATCGTAGGTGCTTTGCAAAAAAATCTAAAGTTAATTTTAAAATCTCTCTGTCATGTGCATGTGATGGAGGGAGGTTGAACACTTGTTAAGGGGCTAGGAGATGCCCCAAGAGCCGTCTTGCATTCCATGTGCACTTTCCTGAATGAGCTGTTGCCCCTCCCTAGGACACTGCTCTCCCCACACCCACTGCTTCTCTCCCTTTCCACAGCCCTGGCCAGTGTTAAACACATGCAGTGGAAGGCTTAGATCCATGAGGATCTGGGGACAGCACAGCAGCCAACAGCTAGAGACTGGACAGTTTGCACCTCCTGGGCTTCCGAGCTCTGCTTTTACACACTGACAGGCTTAAGTAGAGCTTGGAGCTCTGCCAGGGAGGCATGTTCTGGAGCAAGCTGCCCCCTCTCTGGCCCCTGACTGCGCCTCTCTGTCACTGCTCCATTGCACGTCAACGAGCAATTCGCAGATGGTGCTGTGTGCCCTGCTGACGTGGCCCAACCCAAATGGGATTTCAGTGGGACTCTGAAAGGTTCTTTTCTAGCCTGCTAAGGGGGCCACATTTCAACTCTCTGCCTCAAACCAGGAACACTGTTCCTGGGCTCTCTCAGTTGGGGCTGGACCTTGCTACTGCCTCTCTTCCCAGAAGGGGCTGAACTGCTTTGGCTCAAACTTTCAGCAAAAAGAAATGCCTTTGAGTAGAGACTAGCCCTGGAAAAGGTCATCCCAGAAGGGTGAGAAAGGTGTCAGTGAGACCCAACCGAGAGAGATCCTTTCACAGAACTACCTCAGCCATTAACTGTGCCCTGTCATGATAACTGGGGCAGTTGGTCCCTGTTTGGAAGGGCTGACTGGCCTGGTTCAGCCAGGTCCCTTTGGAGAAGAGTAGCAGGAATTGGAAGGGGTGGTCACAGTTAGCTCTCGTCCCTTTTTACGCATTGCAGCCTGAGTGGCTCTGCGTGGCAGCATGTTTGACAAATGCTAACTGGGCCCCACATTTGCTGTATAAGCTAAGGAAGGCAGCAATCCTTCGATCATAGAAGGAGGAGGCTGAGGGACCAGTGCATTCCCCAGCAGGCTCTGCAGGACCTTCACCACCTCCTCATCCCCCTACCACGTAACCTCATCACATTGACTCCTGCCTTCCCCAGTGCTCTGCCATTAGCAGAGCAGGAGCTGCGCACCAGCCAAATGGCTTTGCGGTTCCCCAACTCCCCAGTCTGGCTGCAAGTGGCAGGTGCTGGCCTGGGTGATTCGTGGGAGCACAGACAGGTCAGGAGACAGACAGAGAGAGCTGGTGAGGGAATCCTGGATATATGAGGAAGTGGGGGAGGTGAGAGAAAAGGTGGCACCTTCTCACCAGGTTCAGCTGAGTTGCCTTTCCAGCCACCCAGCTGGACCCTACAAATGTCCTTCCCCCATTTAAGATACCCATTGAGACCTGGTGCTTGCATCTGCCCCAGGGATAGCAGAGAAACTGTTCTGATTTGGGGTTTCATCCTGGATTTTCAGTCTCACGAATGTCTGTTTTGTTTCTGTCCCTCAGGGTCCAGGTGGCAGGACCTTGGGGCTGATCTGATCACACCTAGGACCATGGTGGCTGCTTTTGACTACAACCCTCGGGAGAGCTCTCCAAATGTGGATGTGGAGGTAACCAGCACCAGTCACTTCCTGCCTGAGGCTTACTTCTCTTTCTCTCTCCCCCTCTGGTTTACCTTCTTACGCTGGATCCCTTTGGCCTGACCCTGCATCATCCTCTTTCCGAGTGCTTGTGAAAGTCTGGGAATAATAGCCTTGGAGACAGAAGTCTTCCCTTTATCCACCGAGCGAGGTCTGGTGCTTGACTGTGCAGACTTCCCCTACTCTGATCGGAGCGTGAGACCCAAGTTCAATCTATTCAGTTCAATTTTGACTGCAGCTGCAGTGTGGAATCAGGCCCTGGAAAACACAGTTATTGGTAGCCAGCGCTTTTGCTAGAGCATTCCCAGGCATTGGGCCCAAACACACAGAGGCCGCATCACTGTTTAGATATGAGCCAATGTTCATGTTGCTCCGTTCATGACAGTTCCTTGCGCTCAGACATCTCTGGGCAGAAGGCTGACCTGTTTCTGGTGTTTCCTTTTATCTTCACATCCAGACAGAGCCTGCTTCCCTCACTGGGAGTCGGACTCTCACAAGCCTGTCACAATGGCCTGGGGAGTCAGGGCACAAATCCCAAGGCCTCGGAATATTTTATCTCCCAGAGAATTTCTAAGATGGAAATGACAATGGGAAAGGGGTGCAGAAGCTTGTGAAAGGCAGGTCCCAGGAGCATTGTTTGTGTCTAACCATTTCCTTCCCAGAGCTGGGCTCTCCTAACCACGTCCTTACTGTGCCTCCTTTTAGGCTGAGCTGACATTTACTGCTGGAGACGTTATCACAGTGTTCGGGTCCATGGATGATGATGGATTCTATTACGTAAGTACTGTGTCCAGAGAGTCTGAGAGACATGCAGCCTGAAGGGCTACTCCCAATCAACTGTCAGAATAGGAGAGACTGGGAAACAAAATGGAGGCTTGTCAGCAGGGACTGTCCCAAACACAATGAATTCCAACCTTTGGTTTCTTACATAATCCCAGTTCGACACATTCCAGCTGGGGTGTGTTTTCTGCATTTTACCTTTAAGCCATTCTCTCTCTCTCCAGCCCCCGGAGGAGGGGGAGCCCCCCCGCTTTCGTTCTCCTAGTTCCTTTCTTGGCATAACCCTAATACAGCTATTGCCAAACTGGAATCTATGTACTGTGCACATTGTGTACATGAACAGTGCTCAGCAAGCACACCACATCTGCTGCAGGCTGAGTTGTCATTAAAGAAGTGCCATTTCGTTACGGCCATTTCTATTTCTCTCTCCGTTCCTTGTTTTCTTTATACGTGCCATGGCCTAGTTTAATCACAAGTGATACGTTTGCTGGGAGCCTGGAGGGCTTGGGAGAGACCCAGGGGCCTGGTTCAAATCCAGTTAGGTTGGCAGTGACTGAAAGCTGGTGATGTCCACAGGCTCCGTGGTGGCTTATGTGAAATGAATTGGTTCTTTCAATCCGGTTCCCAGGTAGGGGACATCCCAAAGAAACCCCTTTGCGCTAATGGCATAAAGGGGTGGTCTGAACTCGGAGCCTGAGAACTGAATGTGCCCTGGAAGCTGAGCTCCCTCTCTGTGGTAGAGATGGCTCCTGCAGTTGAGAAAGCTGAGCCGGCAGTGTGGGGGAGCCCATGATGTACTGCTCTAGGGAGAGGAGAGACAGTGTGTCAAACCAGCACCCCACCAGACCTGGAGCAGCTCAGCTATCCAGGTGGTGCAGGCTTGACAAAGCCCTGGCTGGGATGATTTAGTCGGGGATTGGTCCTGCTTTGAGCAGGGGGTTGGACTAGATACCTCCTGAGGTCCCTTCCAACCCTGAGATCTATGATTCTATGATTCAGGCAGCTCTAGGTGTTACCAGTCTGTTCTTGGTACAAAACCAAACCCATTCATTTCAGTTAAGCATACTACGTGACAACAGTGTACTTGCCTATGATATCATTTACACAGGAACTCAGGAATTACCAGACACTCCTGATGCTGTCAAAGTTTCACTCTAGCAACAGTGTGTCACAGACATTTTCTACTAAATGCAAACTCTCTGGTTGGTGAGGAAAGAAAGTCCCTGTATAAAAGGCACATTTAATTTAATTCTCTCCCAGGGCTATTACAGGTGCCCAGGAATCTTCCAGGGTGTTTGCAAGGAATTGGATATTTATGTTACACAGTGTTGGGCCAAGATCCCTGTCTTGCCTACAAGATTCTGTTTTCAAGTTTAGTTCTGCACTCCATTTACTATGGCTCTATATTCCTGGGGTCCTGTTGGATAAAGTATCTTTGCACCTGTTGTTATTCAGAGAAGCTTTAGTTAAACCCCCAATGCCAAATAGAATCAAAAGGATTAAGAAAGTCACCAGAACAGGCAAATCATTTCCTTTTGTTTCTCCAAAGTCAGTTGCTGTTCGTCCAGGTGTCAATGTGCTCTGTAGCTTTATGGTGATCAGTGTCTATCTATCCATCTGGCTCCATTGTTTGTCCCTTTTCTCTGCTCCTCACACTGACCTGTTCTTGTAGTGAGAGTGGAACGGGTGTTGGTAGATCTGCCCCCGCCGCCCCCCGCACAATACTAATGACAGGAATCCCCAGCTCCTACGGAGTGCTTTTCATCATCCCCAGCCTTTGTATTCCCGGGAGCCCCAGTTGTTGCCCAGGACCCCATTGTGCTAGTACTCTACAAACACAGAACAAAGAGACAGTCCCAGCCCCAGAGTTTAGCTCTCAAAGCGCTTTACAATGGAGGTCAGGACCATTATCCCCAATATAGAGATGGGGAAACTGAGGCACAGGAGGGGACATGACTTGCCTAAGGTCACCCAGCAGGCCAGAGCCAGGAACAGAACCCAGGCTCTGACCTCCAAGCCTGTGGGAGCAAGGCAGGCCACATTTCCTAATTATCTTAGCCGGGTTTAGCCATAGGCTGCAATCTGCCTAGCCCTGTGCAATGGGGTTGTCTGCTTCATTTCTCAAGTCAGTCTTTCTTAGTGGTGTATCTAAGAACTACTCCTCTGACCTTGCAGGGGGAGTTAAACAGACAGAGAGGCCTTGTCCCATCTAACTTCCTGGAAGCTGTCTCTCTGGACAGAGGAATGACTGAGGGGCTTCATTTGGAAGACCAAGACACATGTGCAGTGAATGCCGAGAGTCAGGTAAGGTGACATGGTAGCTGATCAATCCAGAGGACTCTTGGGACAGAAACTGTTGTTACCATCTCCATATAAAAGGACGTCCAGTAGTTGAGAAATGGGAGAGATACAAAACTCCAAAGTGACCAGAGGTGTGGAGTGGAGGGCATGAGTGCAGCCCACCCCATCTCCTGCAGCCACTCAGGTCACTGCACTTTGCCTAGTGGCTTTTATCACCCAGGAGCAGCTCAAGTGTTTGGCGGGAATTATTAGGGGCACTTGTTAAAGGACGGGAGAAGCTTCTAGGCAAGACAATGCTTTGAGGACTTGCTCCCTCACTGCTGCATGGTGGTGAGTGTAACACACCCGAAAACCCTCTGGGACATCCCCACACGCACCTCTGTGAAAAGGATGTAAGGCCACGAGAGCACCTCTCAAACCCAGGAAACTCACAGCCAGAAAATCCTGGCTCAGCCGCTCCCTCCCCTGCTTCCTGGCACAGCCAGCGTGCTCTCCCCAAAGCAGACCCCATTCTGTGCTGCCTTACCCCCCTGCAGTGCCTCTAGCCACAGTGATTGCCAGGGGAAGTCCACACTTAGTTGGGCCCTAATTCTCAAATGGATCTCGGAGCTGTCAGCTACCTTTGGGAAATTACCTCCATAGCTCCCCACTCCCTGAGTGCCAGAGATGTCAGAGCTTTGCATTAGCCACAGGCCTAGTCTGGCACCAAGCCTTGGTCTGTGAACAGGCACATACCCCTGACTGCCCCAGTTCCTAGGATTTTCTGCCTCTTAAAAGAAGCTGGAACTATTAGTGTCACCCTAACTAAATCCTTCCTGGCTTCCCTGCCTCCTGCTAGTCCTGCACCAGCCTCCCCCAGCTCCTGCCCTCCTCCATCCCTCTCCCTCATGCTCAGCCACCCCCTGCTCATTTGCCTTTGCCTTCAAACACACTAGAGTCTCCACAAGCCTCCCCCCCCCAGCTACTGCACCATCTCCCTCATTCTGTAATATCTGTCTGCTCCAGTGCCTTGATTTCCTCCCCATACAGGGGAGGTGCTGTGCCTGCTTTGCACAGGCTAATTGCCCCATCTTCTAAAGCCAGCCCAAAGCTGGGCCACCTGAGCTGCTGGTCATGGATGTTCAGATTCCTTTGACCCTGATTTGAAGGGCTTGTCCGCCTGGGAAACGTTTACGAGTTGTAGCAGTTTAATTTTACAGGTATAGTTAGAGAGCTGTAGTTACACTAGTACCACTCCCCTTTGGCTTTTTCAGTTTAGCTTAAGCCACTTCCAAAGTGACAAAAGGTAAACTGAAAATACCTACTCTGACCCTGGAAGAAGGGTGCCCACAAGGGGGCTCCACTAGTTAACAATATCAGTTTAAATTCACAGTACAACTTTCCTTAGTCTCTGCATTCCCCAGTGTGTGAATGGACACAGATTAGGGTAGAGGGCTCTGCATAGCTCTCTTAAACAGATGTCCACTTGCATCAAGGCATACTAATCCCAATTAAGGTCCAACTGTTTTTAATGGCTCTGTATCTATGTGGCTTGGCACGTGATTCCAAAGCTGGGGTAGATGGAGGCTGTGTATTTGGGGAATCAATTGTTAGTGATTGAACTTATTACATTCCAGGATTTAACTGGTAATAGGCTGCCTGCTGTACACGGACATCCTTCCCACGTCTACCCATTCCAGTTCCTCCCTGATATACATTCCTCCCAAATGGACCAGTATTTACCTTTGTTCCCCTCAAGGGCTGATGTCAGCTCACATTTATATCAAGCTCCATACATTTTTGAGAAAGTTACCCCAACCTCCTTCCCAGTTCCCTGCTGTGTTTATTAACATGAACATTGAGTATGACCCGTTTCGAGGTCAGGGCACCATGTGCTAAGCACTGTGTATAAATATACAAAGACATGGTCCCTCTCCGGAAGAGTTTATGTTCTCCGGGTGTTTCTCATTTGAATCTTTGTCACACATTGTATAGCTTGAGTGAGTGATTACAGAGGGGAACCAGGAATAGGACACTGAATTCTATACTTGCCTCAGCTTCCCCAGGTGTGGGTATAAATTCTGTTCATGGCGTAAGTGCCTAGATAGGTACGACAGAATGACCACCTTCCTCCCATAGTTAGTGGCTTATGGGGCTAATTAATGAATGCACTTGAATTGCCCCAGGCTCTTCCAGTGAAAGGAACTAGAGAGAGACATGTGTGAATACAAAGGCCTGTATAACAAAAGTTTGACTCTTGGTGGTTGAGAACTTGAATCCTGAAGCTGCTTATGGCTGCCTGCCACATTCAGTGATGTCACAGGCAGGTAGCCATAACCTCACCTTCACTTGCATGGTAGAGACTGCACTGGAGGAGGAGCCAATTAGAAAGCTCACCAATGGAAAGAGGACATTTGGCATGAGTCTGACTGGCGGCCCTGATGGATTAATAGTTATGGACCCTGCTTTGTCCTTTAAGAAGCAGTTGCTGGCTGTGAAGTGTTAGGCGACAGGGTTTGTCTCACTACCCTAGTGTTCCCTGCATTGTCTCTGCAGAGTGCCCACCTCTCACTAAACTCAGAATTTGTGTATCCCGACGGTTGTGTCTGTTGCAAAACAACGTGGTATCGGATTGAAAGGGCACTGCTGGGAGGCTCCTGGCAGTGAATGTCTTTACACACTCCCCTAAATTACCAGAAGAAATATAGCAATTTCTCAAGGGTCCTCGTTCCAGGACCCTTGAGCTGCATTCTTACTCCTATTACATAGTATAGCCTCCCCAAGGCCCCCCCCTCCCCCCGCCAGGTATAGTGTCATTAAAATTAAATAGTGAGCACCAAAAGGCAGGAAAGGTAGAAGTGAAGGTTCTCCTAGGCCTGGTCTACACTAACACCCCAATTCAATCTAAGGTACGCAACTTCAGCTACGTGAATAACGTAGCTGAAGTCGACATACCTTAGTTCGAATTTACGGCGGTTCAGACGCGGTCCACACGCGGCAGGCAGGCTCCCCCGTCGACTCCGCGGTACTCCTCTCGCTGAGGTGGAGTACCGCAGTCGACGGCGAGCACTTCCTGGTTCGACTTATCGCGTCCAGACCAGACGCGATAAATCGAACCCAGAAGTTCGATTGCCAGCCGTCGAACTACCGCGGTAGTGTAGACCTGGCCCTAGTAGCACTGAGCTGCCTACATTGCATGTATTCTGTGGGCTCAATCCTCACCCGTTGTGAATCAATATAGAGTCATTGACATCAACCCAACTACATCTGGGGGAACTGAGGATTGACCATAACCAGCTAGCATATTTTTACAGGCCTACTCTTGTGTTGGTTAAAAAGTGTTAGCTGGCATGGCTTTAAGCCCAGCCTATTTGCTGAGGCTAGACCTGGCCAGGGAGAGGGACTGGCTGCTGGGGAGAGTGAAGTTCTCACATTTCCTGCTACCTTTGTTCGGTTCCTGCAAAGCTGGGTCAGCAGAGCTGAAAAAGCAACAGAGAGGTGGCAGCAGCACGACAGCATCATTGGACTCTTTTGGAAGCTTGGGGGTGAGATTCCTCCTGCCAGATTGCCTAGCTGCAGCCTCTGAGCCATTCTGCCGGCTTGGGTAGGGTCACTGGACAACATGATGTCACAACAAAGCTGTGAGCTTCATTAGGCTCTACTCAGATCTTAACAGGAGCTCATTCAGAAGTGATTTTCCAATTGCTTATAACTTTCTGGATGAAGCTCCCCCACCCACCGCCAAGCAGGGGCCCAGCCCCTCAATGAGGATGATTTCCAGACAAAGCAGAGGAAGGAGGATGAGTTCTGTGAATCACTGGTGATTAAACGATTCGTACAATTCTGCAAACATCGGGGATATTTTTAACTCTCCAATAACTGAAAGAGATGAAGGGATTTTGCTTAAACTTCCAAACAAATGTCACTTCTGGACTCAGGCTAAGCACTGAAAACTCATCCTCAAAGGGAAACTCCCTGAGAAGTCCTGAGTAGGTGAAAACAGGATGCGACCGTGAAAATCCCATGGTAACGTCAATGATAGTTGTTGCTATCAAGGAATTGCTCTAATGGGTGTACTTTGCATCAGTAATATGCAGATTCTGTCAAAGACTGAGATTTGTAAAGCACCTTTAGAAAGTATTCCATTCTAATTGATTTCATCTATTTATTTCTGCCCATATTATGCACCCCTGGCGGTTATATTCTTCAGAGAATGAGGAAAAGAAGAGTCCAGTGATAGATAAGAATGATACATAGAGAGAGAGAGCAACCATGTAAGTGTATGGGAGAAGGTCTCCTTAATCCCTTGCCTGGCCTGCCCTGCAGCCAGACTTCTCTCCTTCCCCTGCTGTGGAGTGGCTGGCTGAATGAGGCTCATTACCAAAGAGAAGCCATGCTGTGAAGTGCAGTTGTTTGGAACAATTATCTGGTGGTTTTGGGGACTGTGGTATGATGCTGGTTTCTTAGAAATAAGAGATAGAAAGGGCCTGCTTTGTCCTTCAGGCTGGCCCCAGCGAGGGCAAGGTTATTCTTTGCACAGTAGTTTATGGTGCTTTATCCAGACTGGGTGTAGCTGTCCCATGTGATGGGGCTCCTACCTCCGCCTGCAGGCTAATAGTTTCCCATATTCAGCCTGCATTTTCCTTTGCTCAGTCTTCTCCTATTCCTCCTCATTGTGTTCCCTGGGGCTCCCGTAAACAATCCAAAGACTAGCAAATTGACTAAATAGGTCATGCGGGTGGTGCTAGTCCCTAAAATTAACCCCGGTGGATAATTGTTCTGTTTGACAGCACTCACAGAAAGGATTGCAGCTGTGGGGTGTGACTTCCTGCACTCCGCCATTTGAAGGGTGCAGGGGGAGCAGATTGATTGTGTTTTTCCTTTTTAACATTTGATTTATCATTTCAGAAAAAAATCATGAGTAACAGAGAAGAGAAAAGACTAACATGATTGTGCGTTTTTGCAACACTAACACTGTTTATCAAGATCTTTCCAGAGTAATTTTTCTTCATTTCTTTTCTTGG